TCGAAATTGCAGCCGCCACAGCCGGGATTCGATCCCGCGACCTGCGGGTCAGCAGCCGAGTACCTTAGCCACTAGACCACCACGGCGGGGCTAGGCCTTGACTTCCTGTCCACGCATTTTGCCCTCATAGACTGTTCGACCAGTACGCTCCGTCTACACTTGCCCGCAACCGAACCTCTTGCACAACGACCGATTCGTCTCTGCGCAACGGGACACGCGCGCCTCCCTCCACAGACACTGACCTACATAGAGCTCGTCTCAATACCACCAGTTCGCGACGGTGACTGTGTTCTGAGCCCTATCACCAATGTCCTCATAAACCGCGGCATTACATTACTGCACGCCATTCTGTTCGTCGCAGGAAATTCTACGTGCCTCCCAGTTGGCAACTTTAGCTTGACACCAAGTTCTGCCACAAGGCAGAACTTGGTGTTTGACGTTGCTCTGCATCTTAGAAGACAATGCGGTAGATGTTTTCGCGATGGCCACTCCTTCTGAACCACATGCTCAACATCAATATGCCACTTGCTCCGACGGCGCTATTACGTCGATGGTCACTTCCAACTTAACGCCGCAGCAGACTGATGAGCTCCACCGGGTTCTGCTGTCCTAAATCAATGTTTTTGACCTCAGCGGCCGTCCGTTGGGAAAAGCTACCGGTATGACCCACCGCATAAACACTGGTAAGGAGCATCTTATTCATAGGCGTCCATATCAGGTGTCGGCGGCCGAACGTCACATTACCGAAAGTGAGGTCGACAAAATGCTCACCAAGGACATCACTGAGCCATCCTGCAGTCCTTGGGCTTCTCCTGTGGTGCAACTCCACAAGAAAGACGGTGCATGGCGTGTCTGCGTTGATTATCGACACCTACACAAAATTACGAAAAATGACGTCTACCCTCTGCAACGAATAGATGATGCGCTTGATTGCCTTCATGGATCGCCCTATTTTTCCTTCATAGGCCTTCGTTCCGGCTACTGACAGATAGAGGTAGATGAAATGGACCATGAAAAGACGGCATTCATCACCCCCGATGGCCTATATCAGTTCAAGGTCATGCCCTTCGGCCTTTATAGCACCCCAGCCACCTTCGAAAGAATGATGGACACCCTGCTCAGAGGATTCAAATGGTCCACCTGTTTGTGCTTTTTGAATGACGTCATCGTCTTTTCACCAACATTTGAAACTCATATAGAGCGCCTTGCAGCCATCTTAGGAATCTTCCGTCACGCTGGCCTGCAGCTCAACTCATCCAAATGTCACTTTGAATGCCATCAAATCACAATACTTGGCCATTTAGTAGACGCCTATAGTATACAACCAGACCCAGCAAAAATCAGCGCCGTCAAAAACTTTGTTGTACCACGATCTGCGAAAGACGTGCGTAGCTTTATCGGACTATGCTCCTACTTCCGATGCTTCGCGAAAAATTTTGCGTACTTAGCGAGGCCGCTTACGCAGCTCCTCAAGAAAGAAGTCCCGTTTTCAAGGGGCTCCGAAGAGGCTTCTGCTTTCCCGACTCTCGTTGTTCTTCTCACTACTCCTCCGATGCTGGCACACTTCATCCCTGCTGCCCCTACAGAAATCCGTACACATGCAAGTGGACATGGCATTGGTGCAGAGCTGGCTCAGAAACAACATGGCCATGATTGCGTCATTGCATATGCTAGCCGCCTCCTATCCGCCCCTGAACGTATCTATTAGATCAGCGTGAGTGCTTGGCTCTTGTATGGGCGGTGGCGAAATTTCGACCTTATCTCTACCGCCGCCTATTTTCGGTAGTTATCGACCACCACGCGCTCTGCTGGCTCAACTCTCTGAAAAATCCATCACGCCACCTTGGTCACTGGGCTTTGCGCCTGCAAGAATTTTCCTATTCGGTGTTCTACAAATCTGGCCGCCTACATTGTGATGCCGATTGCCTCTCCCGGTACCCTGTCAACGATCCTGCGGACACTGGCGAGCCCACGGAGAACTGTATCTTGTCAGTGTCCGACTTACTTAATATTGGGAAAGAACAGAAGCGTGATTCAGTGCTGCTTGACCTCATCAGCCGTAAAGGATGCTCCTTAAATAATTTTTACGTTCGCTACTTTGTCATTAAAAATGGTGTGCTATACCGTCGCAATTTCCGACCAGACGCACCCGACCTTCTCATTTTTGTGCCTAAGCATTTGCGCCGCTGTGTTCTCACCGAACTTCACGAAGCTCCCACGGCTGGACACCTTGGCGTATCCCGCACGTACGAGCGCGTCTGGCGCTGTTTCTTCTGGCCAGGCCTTGCTCATTCGATACGCCGATACGTCGCCACGTGTGACCTATGCCAACGTCGTAAAACACCGTCGCCACTACCCGGTGGCCATCTTTAACCAATTGACATACTCTCGGAACCATTTTAACGTGTTGGGTTAGACCTTCTTGGTCTTTTCACACATCAACTTTGGGAAACAAATGGATAGCCGTTATTACTGACTACGCTACACGCTACGCTATTACGCGTGTTCTACCGACCAGCTGTGCAACCGACGCCGCCGACTTCTTGTTTCGCGACGTTATATTGATTTACGGTGCTCTGAGACAGCTTCTCAAAAACCGTGGCCGTACATTTCTATCCCAAGTCATCACTGACATTCTGCATGCAGGAACAGTGCCACCTAGAAGTAGTTACTTCGTAACTACGAAAGTGAAAAAAAACAAGGACAGAAAAGAGCACTGACTTTCAACAAAGATTTAATATAGGGGTGTTGTACATATATAGGCAAAAAATGAAAACATTTTGGCATGTGTGGAAGGGTGCAGGAAAAACCACTGCGATATAATGTCAGCAAAACGCTCGTCTCTTGTTGAATGGGCTGAAAATAAATACACATGCAGCTTAAAAAGATCGAGATACGCAATCTCTTTTTGCAACAACGCAACTGATCGGCAACATACACATTTACCGTCAATTTTATTTATTTGATAAGCTTCAATTATCGCACGCGTGGCCTGCGAGTTGTGCTTGCTTAATACCTCGCAACGCTCAAAAACTGGCACGCAGCCGCAGTCTCGGCAGTGGATTCCGAGGTGTCCTTGAACAACGTTGCGCACATTGTTATTGTTCTCTCTTAAAATGTCATTAAGGCACCTTCCGGTTTTCTCTATGTATATCATTCCGCTCCAACGCGAAATGAGATAAACGACACCAATAACACAAAGTACAAAGCGCGTGCTGTGTTTCACGGTGCATCTTCCTCTAATAGAAGCTGGATTATTCACTAGCTTACAGAGCTTTGCAAGCTTTTCTGGGGCGAAAAACACAACAGTGACACCAGCACGTTTACCGATTTTTTTTCAGCCGATTATGTACTCACTAATCAGTACGAATTAGCTGTAAGTCAAGCTTAAATGACTTTTTGACGACCCTTCAGTCCGCCACGTTAAAAAAATTCAAAGCTCTTCTCTGCCTCCAGAACAAAAAAAAATGAATCCACATGTTGGGTTCAGTGCAAAGCCAAAGCAATGGGATATCCTGTACAAGGCACCGGAAACTTTCGAGCTTGTTATAGTTGTGGGGTGGCTGATCACCTTTCAAATCAAATAATCTGACATGTAAGGCTCGCTGGCGCAGATGTCGTCGCTGTGAGAAGATTGGGCACTTAGACGTTCTGTGCAGGTCGTCTGGATACTCTGCGAAAGTTCGAAAAGTTGATGAAGATGACGACACTAGCTCTCAGTATATCAGAAAACAGTGTTGTCAAGGGACACAAGCATGGCATGGGATTTACGCATGCATCGCAGTAGAAGGTCCCACTATTTTGTTTCTAGTTAATACGGGATCTTCTGTCACTATTTTGGCTGAAGAACTCTATCGTTGATGAAGAACTCTATCGCTGATGGACCGCGACGGTGCATGCGGTGGCCTAGGCATCGAGGAGGGGCGGATTCGGGGTAGAGTCGGTGGTCATGGCTGGCCGCTTGTGAAGTCCGGCTGTGTAAATCCAGACTGTTCAGAAGACTGAGAAATCTCCACAATTTATAATAATGAGCTCAGACACGTTCTCGTCAGCAGATACTGCTATGTCAGACAGGATACGATCGTAGGCCTAGCTAGCGCAAACAGCAACAACGTCCAGAATGAGCGACTTTTGTGTAGCGGTAGTCAATACGGATGTGGACATTTCAGTGTGCACTTGTTTATGGCATTTTTCATTCATGAGGTTTAACGAGCGAAAACCGCAATACTATAATGAGAGACGCCACATCGTAGGGTTCCGGTAAATCTGGCTAACTTGTGTTCATTAACGTACGCCTTTGTTTAGCTACTCGCGCCCCAGACATTTTAGTCTCCATGGAAAATGCCCCCTTGGGGGGGGGGGGGGGATTTGTTGCCGCGACCTACAGGTTAGTAGTCGAGCGCCATCACCATTAGACCACCATGGCATATTAGCTCCGATACAGGGTGGAGTGGTGACACTGTACATACATAATGACAAAGCTCATCTTTTGAGCTGATCGCCACGTGCCGGTAAAGAATCCCCGCACAGCATCTCTGTTGCGGGCTTGATACGGGCATTGCGCGTGGTCCGTCCCATCCGATAAAAAGAGAAAGAAGACGGAGCTAGGCGCCTTCTTGCTGGTAGTTTAGGGCAACTGGCTGGATTCCAAGAGAAAGCAAATGCGGTAGATGGAGGCAAAAAAATATAGGCGTGCAGATGAGAATAAGAAGCTTGCAGGTACAATGTGGTGGCAGAAAGTGCATAACGAGGTTGATGGACGGAAGATGGGAGAGGCTTTTGCCCTCCAGTGGGCGTAGTAAGGGTTATGTTGTTTTTATCATGTATATAGGTAACAGGGGGTTTACTCTACTATTAAGTTACCTGAATGACGTTGAGGTGCTTACTTGCTGGATGTATTTCTGCGTACACTCTTCAGAAAGCGATGGTAATACTGCTCATCAACGCATCATAACCTTATAAACCAAGCGCCAATATCAATGATAATTTTTGCTGCTCACCTAAACTATATCATCTTCACTACTTTCTTCTTCAGCTAGAGCAGACACCGTTGTTATCAACAGGAGAAAGACAGCACAAAAAACAGATGGCTGTGCCATATTGCGTTCCCCACAAAAGTTTTCACTTCGAAACTTCGCTAGTGTCACAGTATGTGAAGGAGGCTCATGGTTCAACACCAACCTAAAAGCGCAGTCTTTTAAGGAAGCTGTGAGAGCGTTATGACGCCTTTCAATGGTTTTCCTTTTGGACATAACAGAAGAAAAAATATTCGCTTTACGAGAAGCTTTACTAAGCTACGCACGGAAACAATAGCAACATTTTGACGAGGTTATCTTCGCTACCACTATAGTTTCCAGGCAACGACAACGTTGAAAGCTTTTTGTCACATGACATTTACACCAAAACACTTCCAGCAAATAGGCGATCGCTTTTGATGATGCTTGTCGAGCTAAAGAAGCCGCTAACATTTATGGTACATTATAAAATAGTTTCTTTTAAATAAGGAATCCTTGATAATTCATCTTCATTTGAAAAGCAGTGTAAGACCGTTTAGAAAAAGGTTCTACACTAGCACTCTAATCTCGTTTGAAAACTAATATAGGTATCATACTAAAAATTTAAACCTCTAATGCTCAACTTTGTCTCTAGCGAAATATACGAACAGGTATTTACATATTTAAGCATTCTTAACGACTGCAGAAACATAGAACAACTATACGAGTACCCAAAAATTCATTGCTAAGCTGCACGTGTGCATATAATGAAGATTAAATACAACAACGATCCATAAGCAGCCTTTGTTTGCACCAGAAAATGAAGGTTAAAGCTTGTTGCTTGCCTTTGAAAACGATATTCAGCAGTTTTTTTTTATCTAGAATAAAAGCACTGCTGTTTATCATGTACACGTACAAATATTTTACAGTACACATAAGCCAGGACAAAGGCAGATTCTGGAAATTATGCAAATAATTTTGAATAGATGTTGTCAGTGCTGTGAGTGAGAGCGTTATTGAAGTGACTGGTGATTGTGCTGTTTAGTTCGGCGGTTTTGGTTTTTCCAGGTAAATTAGGTTCATTGCATCGCTTCGCAGTGGCCAGTGGCCGCATTTCCGAAATTTCATAGTGGTTTTGGGCAATTCGTAATGGAAGGGTTTGAATTCGCCCATTTTACTGAACCGGCCAGCAGCACTGGTTTAAAAGTTAGTTTTGTCAATTTCTATTATTACTGCCGCAATTTTTATCCGTACGCATCTAAAGATTCCTCCTGCCACAGGAAAGGCAATGCCACAAGTAGCACACAGATACTTTATTTGTGAGATATTTAAAAAGATATTGAACTTCTTGAAACACCCTGTATGATGACAAATGCACAAAAATGTTACAGTCTTTGAAACATCACTGGAATACGATCTTTTTTGATTAAAGTAGCAATTGAGGGTCCCGTTACAGTTTTTAACTCTGGGACCCTCGTCTGTATATTAATATTACTGTACTACTTTTTTGAAATGAATAATAAACTGAAACTGAAACTGAAACTGAAACTGTCGAAATGGAAAATAACTATTATGCCGAGAAGGCAGTATAAAGATGATGATGATTATATGTTAAGTTTATTGGCGTAGGGGCCATTTGGTGGACAAAGAGCGCCAGGTCTTGATAATAATTTTGAACTTCGGTTATGAGCAGTGGCTGTATGAAAGCCTAAAATTTCACCCACCAAAGGCGGGTAAGACACGTACGTACTTAAATTATGACAGTGACGTGTGATTCATTGTAAGAATAAATTTAATGTAGTCGCAGTAATAAAAGTATGCAGTATAATCAGCACGAATGCTTCGTCAACACGCTAGTGTCCAAGCGCTGCAAAGCACGTGCTTTATATAAAGTACCTACCATAGTAAGAACTTCTGATTATAGGTCGTGGTACAGGTTCCCTTGAATCATGATATTGAAAGTATGTATTTGCTTTAAAAAACGCAAATAACGAATCGTATTCAAAAAGCGGTGCATGGCCTAGAAACATCTCAGGATGCAATAGAAAATGTTCTGTGTAGACAAGTGCGAAGTGCTTTTTTGTATAGCGTGCAATTCATTGGAATGTATGAGAACGTGAAGTATGGTAACAGGATCGCCACACTTATCAGGTATACGTGGATCACCGCCCAACAGAAGATGTATGCGTGTACCGTACGCGCTACCTACCCTAATACTGCAGAGTGTGACTTCTCTAAGGCGTGACCTCGATGCAGGTGGCCAATTGCCGAGTTGCGGCTTGACAACAAGTCATTTATTTGGAGATTATTGATCCTAAAGTGCTTCCAATAAGCTGTAATAGTTTTCCTCAGTAAAGACTTGAGGTTTATTATGGATATTCCGTGTATGTGTTGGCAGCAGCTGTATGAACAGATGAACAGCCAGCACATTGCCCTCTATATTGCGGTGGCCTGGCACCCAATGCACCATGACATGCTGCTCAGCTGCGTAAATTTCACACAAGAAAGAGTAAAGTTTAACAAGCACAGAGTTTCTGGGAATACCAAGTGTTTCTCAAGCCTTCTCAACGTTTAAAGAATTTATGTATATAACAGTCCTGAATATCCTTCATTGCTTGATGTGCTTAGCTGCTGGCAATATTGCACGAGCCTCCACCGTAAATAGGGTTGTTCGGAGATGCAGCAAGCCAGCCTCGGAAAAAGATGGAGCAATTGCTGCGTACGAGACGCCAGAATTAGATTTTGATGCACCAGTAAAGCTATTCTAGAGGTGTTTATCCTTAATACCCGCAGCAGGAAACGGGCCCCTCCCGTTCTCAATAAACCAAGATGAATTTCGTATGCCCAGGTGTAATCAGCTAAATTTTCCATCCTTTTCTTTCATATCTTTCGGGGCAGGCTTAATGGCTGACTGTATAAGCCGAAACATTTTTAATGTTAGTTGTGTCGCCATTTTCACGACATGCTAGCGCAGCAGTAACAAGGGCGAAGAAAGTAGATCCAAGAAGGAGTGTGTCTGCTAATGGTGAGCAACCGAATCACCAAAGCTTAGTGAACGTAAACTTTTCGATGCCCTGTACACTTACACTATATTCAGGAAAACTTGCTAATATTTAATGCCGAACGAGAATTCTCGCATGCACACTTTGACAATCATTTTCGCTCTTGTCCTATACACTTTGCACTCAAAAGCATGTATATGCCAGAATTAGTTTTCGAAGCAGCATGATGCCTCATACAAAAGGCACAATATTCATGGATTTCCTCAGAGATAAAGTTATGTTGTCGTCGCCCTTCACAATGGGTGACCGTCTTGAAGATTGTGAAGGAATTCATGGAGGGGGTAGAATAGTCAGCGCAATTACACATCGTGACGATATCAGAACTTCCCCTAACATCAATTTCAGTGTACAGAAAGTATAGGGCTGTTCTACTATACCAGGTTGCCCTTGAACACAGCTTGCAGATGCTCAATAAGTGACCAAGTTTGTGCACCGCGTAAAAGACAAACAGTGCTGCTTGTGATCCTTAATGACCAGTGGTTATCTTCCATTCGCACTACATGTCCTGACCACGACCATTTCTTCACTTTGAATTTGACTATGACAGGGGTGTAACCAGAAATTTTTTCAGGTGGGCTTCACACCGACACGACCGGGGGGGGGGGGGGGGGTCGCAGGCATCAGCTATCGTCAGCGACGGCACTATCAGTCATAGTTTAAAGAGATGGTGTACATGAATATCAAGTCATGAGATTTACCCTCTCTCCGTGCGTATGGCTGTGAAGAGAGTAAGCAAAAGTACTGTAAGAATGATTGATTGATATTCGTGGTTTAACGTTCCGGACTCAACATATGATTATGAGAGACGCCATAGTAGGGGGCTCCGGAAATTTCAACCACCTGGAGTTCTTTAACGTGCACCGAAATATTAGCACATGTGCATACAGCATTTTCGGCTCCATTGAAAATGCAGCCGGGATTCAATCCCGATACCTGCGAATCAGAAGCCGAGTACCTTAGCTACTAGACCACGGCGGCGCGGCAGTACTGTAAGAAGTACTGTAAAATACAGTAAACAACAGGTACAGTGACCATTTGGAGCAACGGCCTCCTTTCGCACCAGTGTACTAGTCTTCGAAAACGCAATTTCGCGGTGACCCACCTGATCAGAGAAGACATCGTTAATCGTTAATCTTTGTTACGCGTACATGGCGTAGACATCGTCGGGGTGAAGTGTGCTTCTGAGGTCAAGAACGGTTCCCCTTACAGCAAGAAATGAGAGATATACGCAGCCTGTTTTTGTAGATTCATAATTACATTTTGGTTTTGCTGACATTGCTGAGCAAATTTCGTACTGTCAAGCGCCATAACCACTAGAATTACCACGGTGGATTTCATGCCCATTTGGTGTAGAGCATAGGGAAGCAACGCTCCACAATAAATCTCACTTTTAACGGCTATATAGGTGCGACCACAGATATTAGAAAGCATTTTTTATAAAAGTGCGCCTATAACAATGCGTCATCCCTCCGGAAGCTCATGGAAAAAATGCTGCAGTAAAAGAGCAGAGGTACTCAAGACTATTGTGATCAAGCTGCATAAGGAACAATGTTGAGTTGACAGCCTTAGTAGCAATTTTTTGAAACTACGAGAAATCACCGTTCTGTTGCACTTTTTATATGTAGACATGCTTACGAAGCTGATAGGTCGCGTGTGGCGCAAGTAGATTAAAAGCTCGTCCGCAAATGCTTTGAGCGCTTGAAACCACGTTATCATGCCGCCTGTATGTAATTCGCTCCTAGAATGTGAATGATTACGACAGTATATTTGTAGCAGCACTGTCAACATTGATAAAAATTGTGTGAACTTTCCGAGCACGTTGAAAACTGCACGCTTGTCTTTCCGTAGTTTTCTTTATCTATTTTTACTGACTGTGAAACGTATGTGCAGAACGATGACTTTATTTTTCTTCTAAAGACATCTTCGAATGTATTTTAGCATGCTATTTATGACATTCTCTTTATTTAGGCAAATGTCACTCGTTGGGAATCAACACGAAGTTTCCGCTTGTGGCGAGAATATCACAAGCGTACTGTTTTGCTGACGCACATCTCGGTGCCTCTACTTCTAATGCGAAGAATATTACTGTTTACTGTGACCTTATCAAGTGTTTTACGTTGTCAACGACCTAATGTATCCGGTTAAAAATATACACTTTGTGGTTGACCGTT